TTGTGACATGTATACCGGGTGAATGCTTCTGCAGCGTGTGGGGTGCTTGATGCCAACCAGTTCTGTGACCCGGGACGCGCACATAATGTCACATTACCATCATTGTGTGTTTGGGCGTTTTTGTTTCATTTTGCCGACTTTGCGGCAGCTCCGGGTCTGTTTTCAAGTGTTGAGGGTGAGTGATTGTCCAAGTACATGTCACAATCATGAGCGGCTAAGATACGTCTCTTTCTCCTCCCCGTTGGCCTGGCCGATCTAGTGGGCCCGGCCCTCAAGTCACCGCGAAGCACGGCTTTCACTGCCAGTGCCTTGCGCGAACTCGGTGACAATGGTCTTTTGGACATCTCCACGTGAATGTTGACATGAACCCCCTAAGAAGTATCAATTTAATCAGATGTAAGCCATGCTTCCAAGATACCTACCACACTCCGGATCTTTTTATGTTCTTGGAGTCGATGTGGGGCTTTGGCCGGCAGATCGCACAGGCTCACAGGTCCCTCGTTGCAGGCCGAACTTGCAGGCTGACATTTTTGCACGGCAGTGTGGACACTGCCCGAACCACGCCGCCTCAGAAGCGCTTGCAATCCATGTTGTAAAGATGTGGCCGTCTGGGGCATGCAAAGGCTGCGCTTCCCAAAGAAAAGTGTTGCATGGCCAGTGGCCCGCGGGCAGAAGAACCTGCCCTTGCGGGTTTGCAGAAATTTTGGAAGAGTCCTAGCATACGGGTGGAGCCGGACTGCACGGTTTGCAGCGCTGGAAGCCAAGTATGTCTCAGTATGACGTGAAGCCTCCCCTGCGCCTAACTTACTCCAATAGCGCTAGCACGCTTAGCACGCCATGCAGGGTGCGCTTGGTCAACAATTGTGTGCCTTTATTGGTTGCATATGATAAGCCTTGGCACTATGTGGCATGCATTTTATTTTTAGAATGGTTTTGGTGACGCTAGGTCAGCAGCCCGTCCATGTACACAACAGCCTGGCAACTGAATACCGGAAGCGAGGTTATGGCCAAAGATTATTCAAACACACCATGTAGGGCAAATGGGAAAGACAAAAACAACCATTGGCTGCCATCAAGGGAACGTGGTCTTCGAAAGTGGGCGCTACGCTACGCAGCCAGGTGGCACTGAGCCTACACCATGCCGTGGCCGCCGTGAGCCGTGAGCATTCGGATGTGGCTCGAAGATGAGCCCTCCGTGGTGAAGGCAGAAGTCCAAAACGGAAGACAACTAAAACAAAACCTGTTACCTGTACCAAAGCACCCTGCACAGGAAAAGTTTCTTGTATGGCTGCCGGGCAAGAAGAGAACAGGACACGTGCAAAGTATGTAGCTGCTGGCTGAGATGGTGGCGTTTTTTCATCCAAAAATGTTTCTGTTCGACAAAATGATTTCTTTTCTGTTTCCTAGTATTTTTCTCAAGTGCCATCACTTCGCCTTCTTGATATGATTTTGTTTTGTGTCCCGACGTTGAAGTGCAAGACATACGCCGATGCTATGTGACAAACTCTCTTGCGTTTGTGGCAGTGCGCATATGCACCTCCGAAAGTGTCCAACGGCGTGCTTGTAAACGACCGAGCTATGCTTTTTGAATTGCTGCCTGGTGCTTCTGTTGGCGTATGTCATGGCTGTTGAGTTCAGGAAATCAATGCTGTTTGGGGTCGAAAATGGTGTATTTTGTCGAGAGAAGGAAAACACACCTGGAGACTGGAAGCAGGTTGTTGGAATTTTCGTTACAAAAGGTTGAGGCATGTCTACCCCTGATCTCACCAACCGCGTTTTGCCTGGAGATGGGCCGCATATGGCCGCACCACCCGTGCCGTTCAGCACTTGCCCGCCCAGGGGTGGGAACCACCTCTTTTTTTTACATTACCTTGACGTCAGCCCGGCGCCGAGCCACCAGGACCACAACGGACGCCAGTCACCGTGGTTGGCAGCGCCACACAACACCGAGCTTACACACAGCATAGCACCGAGACGTGCTCGCGGGCCGGGAGGCTCCCGGCCAAGCCATGTTGGCTTCAGTCAAGTGTGTGCACGTTTTTTTGCGTGAAAGTTGCGGCGTGTAAACGTTGGCTTTTGTAAGAGCTTTACGCAGTGCGTCGACGCCGCGTTGTGCAACCTCATTGTAGGACTTCACTTCTCTTTCGCATATCTTTCATGTGCTGTTGTTCAGGTGCCTTCGGAATTCACTGAAACTGCTCTGGAACTCAGATTGCGCAGCTGGCAGCTTATGTTGTTCAATTCCGCCCCGGCGGTTTATACCAGGCCTGGGAAAAGCGCATCCGGCATATTTTTGGAACACAGCACAAAACTGTTTTTGATCGCTTTTCGTGCTCCAGGGCTCAGCGGGCCACCCCAAAATGGAATGTGTTTAGTAGCTCACCAGCGCCGCGCTTGCCACGAAATCTGCGAGGTTCACGAAGTGCTGCGCCTGCTTCAAAGGCTGTTGTAAATGGCAACAAGCTCATGGAAACGATTGTGCAAGGAAAACAATGCCCTCAAACGATGTAAATCGCCAACACCTTCATCGATGTTGTTTTCGACACTGGCCAACAATGTATTGGACTGCCTACGTGCTTTTTGTATGTAACGTTCAGCACGAGCTGTCCAACCCTTGTGGTATTGTTCCAAGTTTAATTGAAATTTTGTGTGAAAGTGGCCGGCCAGAACCCATCACATACACAATTTGACTGAAACTGTTGAGACTCAAAGAAGAACGCGCACGAAACTCAGCTAAAACTCGCCATGCTCGCTTGGTCGCTGCCATAGCGTGCAGCAGTGTCCCAAGGAATGCGTGTTGGGCAATGTCTACATCCAATCCATTTGCACGCGCGGAGTTGCAGAGTCTTCCCGTGCATCTTGAGCAGTTTTGTCCTCCCTGGATTTCGCACTGTGAAGCAATCAAAAGAGAGTGATCTCATGTCTTTCAATTTGTCTGGCACCTTCTGGTTTTTGAGTTCCCTTTGTTTGGATCTTTGCCTGGGGTCCGTGTTCAATCCATGTCCTTCTGGTTTTGGTCATAGGAAATGCACCACAGCCCATCATACAGCTTGGCCCTGGTTCCAGTTGCATTCACTCCCAAAGTGTTACATCCAGTTTGCAAATCCTTCGCTTGTGCTTTGTTTCGCAAGCCCTCGACCGTTTACCAACAGCGTCTTTGGTTGTGCTTACTGTCCTCCAGCCATCGTTGTGCATGTGCCATGGGAACATCGTGCGACTCTGACGGAATCCTGGTTCTCTGTGAAACAACTGTTGTCATTCTTCCACACTCTTCAGCAGTTTTTGGAAACTGAGAATTCAACACCGGCTCACAAAAACAGGCACTCAGAAACTGAACATGTCCCTCTTGAAAGGTCAGGGTATGGGGCGGAGCCTCGGCTGTGCACGCTGAATTTGCTCGCCTGTACACGCGGCTTGCTCGGCTGAACGAAAGAAAAGAAAGAAAGAAAGAAAGAATGAATGAAACAATGCGCAACAAAAATCATCATGAATCATGCAGATGAATGTCCAGAGGGACGTTATTAACACCCCCCCCCCCCCCCCCCCCCCCCCCCCCCCCCCCCCCCCC